TATTCATTACAGAGATTACTTTGCTACTGCGTCGCAATTAATTAAATAACTTTCTAATTACTAATTAATTGTTAGAACTATCTTATTGAGAGTTTTCAATGAATATAAGCACAAATTTATTGGACCAATAGCTAATAAGATATTGCAAAGAATTAATGATTTTCTCCAAATATTATCGACCATCAACTCTTTACATGTCATAAATCTCTTTTTTATAAATAAATCTTTTTTATTTCTCAAGGTTATTTTTAAAATAAAAATAAAATAAAATAAGCCGATAGAAACATCAATATTAAACAAATTTAATTAGTATTTTATTATTCATAAACACAAATAATCGTTTATAATTAGCAAGAATAATATAATTTTTTATTATTTTAAAAAATAAGCCGAAAATTTCTTAAAATAAAGGTTTTTAATTGCGCATAATTTTTTTAAATTTTTTTATTAAAAAACTTTGCAGGATGATATCGTATGGTTATTAGGTGAAAACACGCAGATAGGCGGAAATTAACAAAAGTATTTATTAAATATGCGAATGAACTTATTATTTGACATTTTAAGTATAATATTTAGATTGACAAATTTTTTAAAAATTATACGATAATTCAAAAAGTTTTTATATATAAACAACAATTCAAATAAAAAATTTATTTGATTAACGGAGGTGATATAAACAGGAAAAATCCTTTAATCCCAGACTTTTGAATAGGACGGGTAATGACATCTTGTTGATTAAATTGCGATTTGGTATGGGACATTAATATATTAAATAATGAAACAATCAGATTTTATTGACTACATAGGTTTGGTGTATCATAACATACGTCATATGTTCGTTCGCTTAAAATATTATAATGAAATTAGTATCAATAAAATTTTACTAAACTATTCAAATGTTATAATAAAATTTACTTTGTTATTTTACTACTAAATATATTCATTAAATTTATCAATATTCTAGTTATAGAAGTATCTTTTAATGCATACATAATTAAATAACGCGATTTTGATTCTTAAGTATTATTATATCAGGAGTTTTGAAGATATAGTATTTACTATCAATAATTAAATAATACTAAACAAAGTACCAAATCTTTTTTTTTAATATTTAAATATTGAAATTTTAACTCTGGATTTAATATTATAATCCGTTAAAGGTTGCTTTTTCATTAATACATCATTTTCATTCATTTGGGATTGTATGGGAAAATGAATGTCCGGAAAACGTGAAATTGAGCCTCTTAATCTACCGATTTACAGATCTCGATCCTATAAAATGTACAGGGGCTATAGCATTATCCATTGTGTGGAGCCCGAGTAGGAATAAAAAATAACGTGTAACGATTGTCAATCCTTTGATGTAATTTTCACACGCAGTAAGATCTATACCTCCTGATTTACATAGTTTTGTTGATCGTGATGTTAGAATGAAACGAAAATGGATACATTTACAACGATGATTTTTTTTTTTGTATTTCCATACTTTATTCGAAAAAAGGCTAGAGTGTTATTTATAAATCTCTCTCATAATCAAGAATGTTATCGGACGGATAGATCGACAGATTTGATATTATTGCAAATCATGGGCACCTTATTCCCAGAATAATTAAAACCAATCAATGATATTAGGTTATCTTATTTTCAAGATTAAAATATATAATTTATTCATCCTTTTTGCATGTAAATATAAAATATCGTTTTAAATTCATGAATTTAAAAAATTAATTAGAGAAGGTTAAAAAATTTTGAAGAAATACATTATCCTAATAATTAATTATAAATTATAGATAAAATCAGGATGAAGATCACCCATATTTTTAATTTCTTCTTCAGTTTTTCCTTCTAAAAACGATTGAGGATTTTCTCTCTTTTTCTTATTTAAATTTTTGAAGACAAAATATTGGATAATTGAAATACATGTTGCAGTAATTAAAAATGACATAGATATTGAATGACCAAAATGATATTTTGGATAATCTTTTTGTCGATAAATTTGTGATGCTACAGCACCTCCTACATTTGCGCACATCATTACCATTGCTGTCGATATGCTTCTTTTCGCATGACCTGCTATATTATTCGTTATCCTGTTAAAAAGGATGAGATGAGATATTAATTTTATTAAAAAGTTAAAATAGGGTAATAAAATTATAAAAAAAAATTACCATGCGATTGCAGTTACAGTTGCAAGAAACAAACCAGATCCAACGATACAGGCACCAACATATTTTCCTAAATAAATAATTTAATGTCAATTTAAAAACTACATTGCAATCACCCTTTTATAAAAAAAAAAAAAAATAAAATTTGCTTACCTGCGATGCCCACTGAAGGTACGGCTAATAAGATATAGCCAATAATTGCGATAAATAAACCTGTGATGATAAATGGACTGCGAACAATTTTACGGTCCGAAAGTACTGCTACAATTAACGTTGATATACCGGCACAGAAAAATGGTGGTACTGATAATAATTGTGATTTAACTGTCATATGATTTAAAGATTAATAAATAAAATTTATTGAATAACTATTAAATGAGAACTTGATTTAAATAAAAAAAATTTTTATAATTACCAAAATCAAATCCCATTCCACTTATTATTGTTGGAATAAATAATGAGTAAGAATAAAATGATACTGAACTTACACCAAGATATAACATTGATAAATAAACTTTCTAAAAATAATAAAGACAGTTACTAAGGCAAAGATATTTAAACATTACTATTAATGTATAATTTACGTACCCAATCTGTTAATGCGTCGAAAATTTGCTTTTTATCATAGTGTGTTACATGAGCTTTTCCTGCATCATTTTTTAATCGTTCAACAGCATATTTACGTTCTTCTTCACTAAGCCACATACTTTTTTCAGGATAATTAGCCAGAAAGAAATAAGAAATTACAGAGACTACAACTGTCAGTAATCCTTCAATTAAAAATAACTTTTTAAAAATACAGGATCTTTGTCAGTAAGAGAAAGTTATCGTGACAAAACAGAAAGTTAATACTTAATACATACCCACTGCCACCCTTTTAGATGTAACCATCCATCTAATCTTACAATACCGTATGCTAATAAACCGCTAAATGAACCAGCAAAACTAGGTCCAACAGCTAGGATGGCTATACGAGAATTTGTTTCTGATCGTTTATACCATGTGGATATATAATAAATTGCGCCTGGAAAAAATCCTGCTTCACAGACACCTAAAAAAAATCTTGCCGCCATTAACCCTGAAAAATTAGTCACCTGGAATAAAATTCAATTTTAATTTTACTTTAATTTAAACATTAAATTAATTTCTTGCTTCGAAAGTTAAAACTTACAAATGCCATAAGCGTCATTACAACTCCCCATGATATCATTATGAAAGGAACTAAAATATAAATAATTAATTAAATAAGGAAAGGCATTCAAAAGATAATTTAACGTAATAACAAACATCTATTTACTCCACACAGAGGGATTTGTCCTAACGAGCATGAAATTCGAAGGAATTTCAAATAAAATATATCCACTACAAAAAGTAATATATCATTAACTTGATTATTCAATTTGTATCAAAAGTATTATTATATTTTAAAAAGGTCACTTACATGAAGAAAATACTTAGACACCAATTAAATTGAGTTCCCACCAATTTAAGATCAGCTTCAATATGTGCCAATTTCGCGTTTCCAATATTTACTCTAATAATAATCGGCAGGGATAGTGATGAATTATATAGGTGATAAACAATTTTACATGAAAAAGGAAATCGTTGTTTTCAATTACCTGTCCAAGAAACTTAAGAGATATAACAAAGTTATTAATGGCATAATTCTAAGATCTATTTTTCTTACTAATTTCTTTTCAAGTTCTTTATTCTCAACAAAGATCTCTTCGCCATCATTGGATACCTCTTTATTAATGAATTTTTCATCTTTATTATCAGTTTCCATCTTCGTTGATGAAATGTGGGGAATGTGGGGTCGATGGTATAATTTGATCTTTAATTTGGTTGTATTTATAGTTAAATTATTTTTTTTTTTCTACTAACTATAATTATTATTTTTTTTTTTCACTATTTAAAATTTTGAAGAATCATTTCCAATTTGAGCTCTAATAAAATAATTGCCCATTTCAGAATAGCTTCTAGATGATCGGAGGGATCCACAAACAATATATATGTATAAGAATATAAAATTAGCATATCCCTATATAAATCCCAGTTTGTTTTCATCGAATAAAAATGATTTCGAATTTAGTAAAGTATAATCTTGCTAAATCGGTTATAAATCATTATAATCGTTATATAGTGCTTAAATATCTTATAATCAAATATATCGTATTCATTATGTCTGATCTCAGCTGTCGAGGTGGTTTTAAAGGTATTCTGAATATTGTAAGATTGGGGTGTGCAGTCAACTAATTAAAGCAAAACTATATTATGGACCCATATGAAAATTTACTATTGAATTTTTTATCACATGGCAATAAATGTCGATCCCATTATATTATCTTAACGCGATATTATTTAATAATAAGTATATTTATTTTATTTTCTACCTAGTTTACAATTAAAAAGGGTGTGATGCAATTTCTTCTCCAAATGGTGGTGATTAGGGATGTTAAGCGGTCCTAAGCAGTCCTAAAAGTCCCAAAAAAATTACAAAGAATTATATTTACAAATTTATTATGAAACTTGTCTATTATAATGTTTTAATGAGCTACTAAATGAAAATATATAATAAACCCTCTTGGAATCCCAGAATTTCTTAAAATTTACAATTTAAGGACTTAGGACCGGGTCCCAAGGACCAATCCTATACTTAACGGTCCCCATCAAAATTGCCAATTTTGAATATCATTTTAGATTTTTACAAATTAATTATAAAATTTTTATGACATTTTTTTGATGAGGGTTACTTATTATAGGTAAATGATTAGACTTCTCTAGAGTTAGTAATCTTTTAAATTGTAAGGACCGGTTAAGGACCGTTTAACATCCCTAGTGGTGATTGCTTGTCTTGAAGCGGAACTGTCTTTGAGCACGAAATTCTTCAAGACCCGCAGTTAAATTCTCTTTTCCAACCTTGCTTGAAGCTAATCGAAGCTTTGATTGTTTAAGAGATAATGACATATTTGCATGAGTTTTTAAATCTAATTTATTATAAAGTTCTTCAACCTGTTGCTGATGAATAATAATAAATAAATATGTGCTTTAACGAAATTATAAAGATGGGGAATTCGTGTAACATAGGATTATCGGCCTTGAAAAATTCTTCAAATTCATCATCAAATTCATTGTCATCCAATAGCATTTCTTGTAAACCAAAAATATTTGTTACTTCCACAATTAATGTCATTTTCGAAGTCTTTTTGCGAACCTTAATTCTTGTTCCAGTTCCTTTTTAAAATTGTAAAGCGAAACTGGGGTTGGTGCTAGGAAATGGGACCAAATCATCAAAAAATTATTTTTTTAAATAATGAGTTCTGGAGATGAAATGATCAGATTTAATTTCACTTAAAGAACAATTTTTTGAAAAATTTTTAATTTGGTACCTTTTTCCAGCACTCACGCCAACTGTTTGCAAATAAATGTGCAGAATCTCCACCTAATCCACAAATTACTAGTAGTAAATAAAACCAAATCTAACCATTTTCAAAATATTCATAAGCTTTATTAATTCCACTTTTCAAATTATTAAATAACTCTTCAAATTCATCATTTGCTAATATTTTAATAGCTTCTGATAATTCTTTAATAAAATACATTTCTATATTGTTTTTAAATTCTCAAGAAAATCTTTTCATTCAAAACTTTCTCTGATAAGAAGCAGAAGCTTTAAATTATTTCACATTAAAAATATAGTAAAAGCAATTTTGAAAGACTTATTGTTTTCCTTTCTTAAAATAGTATTTATAAAATTGTAATTTTAATAAAGCTTTTTAAAATAAAAGTATTTATAAATTATATAAATATAACCTTTCTAATAGAATTGTAAAATATTTAAATATTTAGAAAGAATAAATTTTATTTTCTAAATATATTTTATTTTTCAAAAAAAAATAAAAGAAGAGTTAATCTAATTTTTATATAATAATTAATTGAGTGATAATTCCATGATTGCTGATTTATTAGATCATTATATTGAGAAAAATTAGAATCTAATAAAGCTTTGAACAGTTCAGATTAATCTGAAGATTTTTTAGATCAGATCAATTCAAATCAGTTTTGGATTGCATAAAAATCGATCTAAAAATTTTTAGTTTGGTTCAGATTTTTTCAGATTATAATTCTAATCTGAATCGAAAAAAATCTGAACTGAACTGATAATTTTAGATTATCTAAAAATTCAGTTTGATTATTTGTGAAACTCTTAAAGGATCGCAAAATTTGCGAATTCTCTAAGAGAATCGTAAAAATTTAGTAAAACTCTTATAGAATCGCAATTTTTTGCAGTTTCTCTTCGAATTTCGCAAAAAAATTGTGAAAATCTTGAAGAATCGCAATTTTTTGCGATTTCTCTTAGAATTTCGCAAAAATATCACGAAACTCTTAGAGAGTCATAAAAAATTGCGATTTCTTTTCAGATTTTGCAAAAAAATTGCAAAATCTTTAAAGAATCACAATTTTTATGATTTTCTTAGTATTTCGCAAAAAATATTGTGAAATTCTTAGAGAGTTGCAAAAAATTGCAGATTCCTTATATAATCAAATTATAATTTTGGATTAATCTGAAAATTTCAATTCAGTTCAGATTTTTACCAGTCTGCAGTTTAGTTCAGATTCAGATTAGCATTTTTAAGATTAATAATTCAAACTGAACTAAACTGAAAATTTCAGTTCAGATATAGATTGGCATTTAATCTAAACTGAATTGAACTATTTGAAACTTTAGAATCTAATATTAGTTATATAATAGTTAATCTGCTTAAAAATTTTTTATACTCAAATTTTACTATATAAGAAATTTTAATATAAATCCAAAATCAGTATTATTAACTTGATATTAAATTTTATTAGAATATTCTTTAAGATTTAAACTTCAAAATAAGTATAAATCATAATTTTAATATTTGTATTTAATGAATTATAACTTTTTAAAAATAACTAATTATATTTGTATAATTTATTATTTAAAGTTTATTATTTTTAAACATTTAAATTAATAGTTTTTAATAACTTTAAATGTTTAATTTTATTAGTTTAATTTAATTAATGTATATAATAAATTTATAAAAAATAAAATAAATAAATAATAATTATTTATTATTTACATCATTTTTTTTTAAATTATTTAATTTATCTGATGTATTTATTTAAAAGATCAATATTTATTATATTTAAATATCATATTTTTCTGATTTTAAGTATTTCTTTTTATAGAAAAATTTATTAAACTTCAAAATAATGCTTTAAATATAAAGAATTTTTTTTATACTTTATAATATTTTTTAATATTTATTTAATTATTTAAACTTTAAGAAATTAAGAAATATTATAAATAAATATAGTGATTTAGCTAATAAATTAGAAAAATAAAAAATTAAAATAAAATTTTTTTAAATTTAAGATTAATGCTTATTTTATTTTAAGTTTTTTTTATCAAAAGTTACAGTTAAAATACATTTATATATCACAAAATTATTAATTAAGAATTTATTAATAAACAAATACCACTATGAAATATTTGCATAAAATTGATAAACATTTTGGTAAAAAAATATTATTCTTATTCATCTTAATATGTGTATAAAAATATAATTAAATACTCAATTATTTACAGTCTGAATTGTTAAAAATATTTTAACTAAGTTATTATTAAGATACAATTACGAAATAGTAAATATTTCTTTAATATATTTAACTCCTTTAGCTATGATTAATGAAATATATAAAAATTTTAGAATTGCAATAGAATATAATAAGTATGTAGTTATAGGGTTTAATAATGAAAAGATAGTTAAAAAACTATTAAAAATATTAATTTTTATCTATTTATAATAAATATACAAAATATTTTACTTTTTATCACTAGATTAAATTTGGATATAACTGAAATAGGCTAAGGTGGTAACATATATTAGCTAATATAACTTAATATAAGTGTTTATCCCCTTACTCTTAGGTAAGATTATCATGTATAATATATAATCACATGATACCTTTTATTCATTTTGCAAAGTTAAAAATTAATATATCAGTTTAAAAATTTTAAATTAAATTTTTAAAATAAAATTTGATAATTTATTTTATAAAATTAAAGTATTAAATATGTAAAAAAGTGATTAGATAATCATGCACATTTATATTTCTTATGTTGCAAGCTTACTATAAGAAAATTTACTTTATGTGATTCCTTAAAAACTGTCTTACTGTGAAGTTTTTATGTATTGTATTTAGCTTTCATTTCATATCTATAAAAAAGCTTTCATATAAAAAACATTAGTATTTTATTAATATGAATTGATAAACCTTTTTTTCTAGTCTTAAATTTAATAAAAAGTTAATATATAAATTATCAACAAATAAATATTAGGAATTTTTCAATGCTTATATATATAGTTTTATGGTAAAAATAAGAAACAGTATATCAAATTATGCTGATATTTGCTATGAAGCATCACAAGAATGAAATAAAATTAAAAATAAAAGCATAGTAGAAATTGATAAAATAATCAGAAAATATTTGAATATACAGTTTAATCTGTATAATATATAAACAATAAAACTAAGATATCCTATACCTAGAAAAGAATCAACTCCTTCCCTCCTTCCCTTTCTATTCATCAGTAAAACTTATATCAGAAATTCTTAATAATGCAGCAACTCAAAAAAGGCAGCATATGAAATAACAATAGCTAAAAAAGAGCTTATTGAATGTAAGCAAATTTATGATATTACGACTAATTCTCAACTTTACCATAATATGTATACAAAAATGATAGACCTTTGAGCTCAAATTAATCAAATCAGAATAGGATTCTCAAATTAAAAAAAAGTTCAAATAATAAAGAAAAAAAGCAGAAATGCTTACTGAAAATCAAGAGATTATATAGTATAATAAACTTAGTCATTCATTTCTTTTTTTTAAGCATCTAAAATTATATAATAATATTCACAATTTGGTCAAATTTGATTTTGCTAATGAGAAACGAAGAAAAGAGGTGATGAAAGTTTAAATTATAGAGAATTTGCATAAGAATCTTGAGAAGAATTATAATGTCTATATAGTATAAATAATATTAAATAATTATCTATTGCCATACTAATTTAATTCCATAACTGCAAAAACTTATCATCATCTAGTATAGATAGCAGTAGCTGGAGTTTCATAAATAGAAACATGTAATTATACTGATAGTCATTATTATTTTGCATTTATCAAATATGCAAAGTAATTTGCATCTGTATTTGCTAATATATTAATTATTATTCCTTAAGATAATAAAGCAAAGATAGACTTTAGAATACCTACTGTAGGTTGACCTTTTAAACATTGCAATTAATTCACAAACCTATTTGTGTGACTGATTGATCATGACTTTTTTTCAAGGTATAAACAAAAATTAATTCCATCAGTTTATCTTATAATTAAATTAAATTATTCAAATGATGAACTATAAATAGGATAACTTGTTATTTTATAAGATACCAGTGATCTCTTGATATATCTTCTCTCACACATATGCAAGATCTTGAAAGTTTTCTTTAAATATCTAATACAATGATATGTTAAAAACTAATATAGAAGTTTGACTAATCTGGATCTTATTGGTAGATAGAGGACTGGATGAAAACCTGAGGCATCTAAAGAATATTAAAACATATTATTATCTTTTTTGAAAATTTAACTTGAATTACCTGACTATAAGGATACATACTTCAGGATAATCCAAATACAATCTGGTTGAAAGAAATATGACAACCTATCTGACAAGTTAGCAAATATTATATTGCTAATCAATCACTTTAGAATGTATTTAGATATGTAAGGTAAAGTGATAAATCCAGAGTTGGCTCTCTGAAATTTCTAATACACTAAAGAAGCTCTTTGCAATATTTGGCATCATGATTTAATTTTTGGAAAAAGCGTAAATGCTCAATATGTTGAAGAATTTATAAAAACCTATAATTTGAGAATATAAAAGAGAAAAGTAGAAAAATGAAAGTGACAAGAAAATCAAAAAAAAACAAGAGAAAAAAAATGACTTAATTAATTACTTTATACCATAGTTATAAATTGAAAATCATTGTAATATGTATCAGTATTCATTCAATATCAAATGATGTGTGAATACAAACTGTTGTAATCCATTTCATATAAAAGTAACTATAAATTCCTTTAATTAAACAATAGCTTCTTACCTTTTATCATCAAAGCCAAAGATGGATACTTTACTAATCCAATACACCTTCTAGAATATTATGATCTTTCAAAAGTTCTGGCTACAATTTTCATTACTTATCTCTTGATAAAATAACATATTATCATCTTTGTTATTCTGAATGTAATAAATATTTTTTAACTTTTACTTTTTTAATAAACTACAAACAAACAGTACATCCTACTAACCATGAATAACTTAAGGAAAAAGATAAAACTCAAAACTCCATAGCTCTTAAAGATTTCTCTCTTATCCTGTTATAATAATAAGAAAAAATTATTCTTTTTGAAGAAATGCACTTAAGGAAATGCATATTAGATCAAGAATAGTTCTATATTGTATAACTATATATGCATATATTAATAAAATACTAAATCAACTTT